ACCAACGTTTCAGAGGTCATACTGCCTCCGTCATCAGAGTATGAAGATTTCTGTCTTCTGGGTTGTTGCGCTGTGTAGTCTGGTCGATGTTAACCAACGTTTCAGAGGTCATACTGCCTCCGTCATCAGAGTATGAAGATTTCTGTATTCTGGGTTGTTGCGCCGTGTAGTCTGGTCGATGTTTACCAACGTTTCAGAGATCCTTGCTGCCTAAATCATCAGGACACCCTGACAAATAAGTAACACAGAAATATTTGTGTTTATTTTTAGGTATCAACTGTTTAGTTTGCTCCTAGAGAAGCTGTCAGGAGGTCTTGATAGCTCTTTGGACACTAGTCTGTATCCCAGCTTATCACTACTCACATCTGTCGCGCTCACCTACATTGACAAAGGACGGACGAAGTTCTCTGATGTTGGTGACTTGTCTGTGAGCGGTAGTCCATCACGTCAGAAGAAGTTCCTTGCCGCAGCTCCTAAAATTAAGGTGTTTGACTTCTATAGAGATGGCTTTGTGAAGGAAGTGAAACAGTGCTTTCCAGTGCTGATAACTTTAACAAAAAGAGTTAAAGAACTTTTAGCAGAGTGGTCAGATCATCCGACTTTGAAACAGGTTAGCATCATTAAGACATAACATAAATATAATTGCAAGATGATAATAACTTTGAGGCCGAATGTGCATATGTAGTGTAGTGGTTTGAGGAACAGCAGTTTTAAGTACCTGAATTAGATGACTAATGCACGAAATGTTGCCCTTTCCTGTACTGCCTCAAGCTGTTCGTTACTCCTAAAATCATTGTAAAAGTTCTGCATAAATCAGTTGAGGTGTGATTCATCTGATAAACATTAACTATGTAATTGTAATTGTACTTGCATTTAACTCTCGGACCTTAGAGATGGTTTCCACATATGCACAGCAACAAATTTCTAATTGTAGGGTACTGAATTAAGCAACTTTGGTGAAAGTTGTTAACGAGGGTTGCGTAAAAATATTTATAAAAGAAAGGAAATAGGTCCTTTTGACAAGAACATTTGTTAAGGTTGTACTGTCATCCTAGATAGAGTATACTGACATTGTTTTCATGGATTAGAACTCAATACGATGACCACAAACCCGTGTTACGTTATGTGGCGTGTGCTGTGTCTTAAAAGACGTGCTGGGTTTTTAAAGGTTAACTTCCTATATCCAATAAATTGTGAAGTTTATGTTAATATATTTACTTTTATAGATGACTAAATGATTGCTTTTTATGTAAACAGTGAATTGATCTGTAAGCAAATGACTTGCACCGCGGGATGTTGTCCAGCAGTAAATTAGTTTCAGATGTACGGTATCCAAAATTTTACTTTAATTATATCGCTGAGAATGAATCAGTATTTTTCTGGGAATGCACTCTTAACACAGATGCACACAACTGGGATTGAAAATCAAAAATATGACAGTTTAACAAAGAGTGTGTGATTTAACGTATTTTTATTTTATTTCCATACAGATGTTGGTCATTATAGACAGGATTCTGAACTTTCCATTAACCAGTCCAGTTTCACGTTTTCTGACTGGTTTTGAGATCCTATTGGATAAAATGCATGAATGGGAAGAGAACGCTTATAGTGGTGTTAGCTTAGCGGCCCACTGGAAGTCTGTAACAGATCAAATTGGCAGCTGGCGGAAACTTGAATTGCAGTGTTGGAAGGATTATCTTGACAATGCTGCAAGCAGGTGAGCAAAAACTGTGTGCTTTGTCATAAATTTAGTGGTCCATGGGAACTGTTTAGTAAAGTGGTATTATGTTACATATTTTAATAAAATTATAAAAGACTTGGTGAATTTATCAACACATAATATTTTTGGAAGTGAATTAGTATATATATACATTATATTATATAAAGTTGTCTTATTTTATATATATCATGTACAGAACACTACTGATGGCTTCAAAATCAGCTATGAACATTATATCCCATTCTTGTATCTAGTCTTGATTTTTAATTTACTTTTGATTGAATTTTTCAGTTTGATAAAGACTATATATCTTCCTGTAGTATTAGATTGTGTTTCTGAGAATATATATGCTGCACTGTACCTTAGATTAAGTCAGCAAGAAGTAATATACGAGGTGCGATCGGAAAGTTTCTA